CAATATTTTGTTTAAGATAAGAAATTAGAAAATAACTCAAAGAATGATTAAATATAAGCAAACTTTGTTTTAAAAGAAATACAGACGTAACCTTTACTGTGCATATAAACCTCAGAATTAAGGTTAACGTACTTACAAGACACAGCCACATTCAGATATAATGTATGAGTCATGTTCAAATATTTTGCTATACAGACGAACTGTACAGAATAATCTTTTGTCACATTATAAGCAACAAGGAGCAGCATTAGCATTAGCACAAGTTTAAAAACACTGCAATCAACCCACCCATTGTCGCACTGAAACTCCACAGCTATCCTCATCCTAAGTTGTTGTGCAAATTCATCCTACATAAGTATGCAGTGGGTGTGCATGGCCGCTTTAAGAATATTTGAGTCCATTGAAACCAGATTTTGCTCATCCAGCATGTAAAAGCCTTTATTCTGGTGATTTTCACACATGTATTGTGGTCTAAAACTCTGGTCTTTCACAGTAAACCGGGAGACCACTGTGTGAGGCAAGCTACTACTGACTAACCTTTCACTACAATCAGCAAGTAAATAAGCTTAGCATTGTACTAGATGACCTTCCTCTTTCCCAACATGTTAGATGCAGAGAAAACAGTATGAAAAGTCATTAATAACTCCTTTAGTACATTAAAAATGAAAGCTGTGACGATGATGGTGAGGGGACGGCAGCTGTGCCGACTTCCAGTAACATAAAACAGGCAAGTTGATCAGTTGCAGGCTTAGCCAACACTTTCAGATCAGCATCTATGAAATTGTCTGAATGTTATGTTTAAACTGCTTTTTTGCCAACATTCGACCTTCATTTTTCATTCCTAATTTTAATCCTACCTGTAGATATTAACGCTAATCAACCTTTTTATTCAGCTCACTTTTTTGTAATGGATATATTTTAGTATACTTACAAAAACCAGATGTAGGCTTGTGTTTCTGCTAGAAATATATTCCGTCCAAAAGCATAAAGCTGTGTACTCACATATCACTGTGACGTTGACTTTGTCCTTCAGGGTATTGTTCATATATTTAGCTGTGCAGACGTACTGTCGAGCATCTCCTGCTGTTACATTGGTGATGACAAGATTGGCTGATCCAGTGTCAATGTGAAGAGTTTCATTGTAACCAAGTTTAGACCAAATAATCAGAGATGGAGGGAAACTGTGAACATTGCAGGTCAGATTCAGAGCCTCACCGTCCCTGACAGTTGTAACACCAGTGATGTAAACCTCCTTCACATCTATGAAACAAATACACATAAATCACAATCATGTAGTTACCATAACTCCAAAATTCTTGCAAGCATAAAGATGATCCTGCAAAATTAGATAGATTTTAGGGGGTTAAAGTCCACTCGAAATGATAAATGTACTCACAGTTTACATTCAAACCTGCAGTCTTTTCTGTAGTCGTTTCACCTGTGAAGTGGATTTTACAGGTGACATTGGTGTTGTGCTGTTCAGCTGAAGGGTTAAAGGTCAAAGTTGAGACATGTCTCTGTGTTACATCAGTCAGATTCTCAGTCTTGAAATCAGTGCTGTTTCCTGTAATGTAAGATTCAGTCCCTCCTGCTCCTCTCCATGTCCAGGTGATTTGAGGAGCAGATCCAGAGCAGAGACCAGGAGCAGTGCAGGTCAGTGTGGCCTGCTGTCCCTCTGTCAGTGTGGGAATCATTACTGTGGGCTTTTGTTTAAGACCTAATGGAAATACTGGGCATTAATGCAATCAAGTGAACTGCCTGACGTTTATTGACTACTTGGATTTTGGGCTCAGATAATGAGACATTTGGTAAAAATGGTTAATGGAAAACATTTGTTTTACCAGGAACTGCTTCAGTTCCTACTAGCTACCAGTATTAACAATTTCCTAAAAATGAATTAATACTTCATTAAGACCATAAAAATACTAAATATGTTGTTGTACATGACTGAATATTGTTTTTCTACATGATTGATCTTGGAATAGCTTTTCATACCTTTAACAGAGACATTTACCCTTGGATTGATTGAAGATGCATTTTTTTTCCCATTCCATTCTCCAGTAACTTTGAGCTGATATGATCCAGAATCAGACACTTTCAGATCATTAATGATGATGCTGCAGTTTTTCTGACTCGCGTCGGACTCCAAACTTGACACTCGTCCTTCAAACCCAGACTGAACTTTTTTTTTTTTCTTGTTGCTGTGAAATGTTATGTCAGCATCACTACATTTTTTAGACGCTTCGCATTTGTACCAAACTATATGTTTGGGTGTAAAGTTAGCAGCAGTAGTGAAAGAACACGGGATCACAACACAGAGTCCAGCCTCTGCTGTTAGTTCTCGCTCACTCAGAGTAACACAGTATCCTTTGCCTCTACAGTGTTGTCGTCCCCAGACTGAGGTAACTGTTAATGCAAAGGGAAAGATGAAAGGTTTCACATTTCTTATCTTATTATATGTGCAGTTAACAAAAGATTTTTTTATTACATACAAGTCAACAGATAGCAATGGCACTGTTAAATTATGTGTGAGTGTGAATAAATGCTTTTTATCTAGATTCATGTCATGAAAATAGTTTCACATACAGATATATACAAAAAATCAGATTTGCAGAAATACAGGTTTACAAACTAGCAGACGCAAACCTTTGTCAGCACTGCTGCCTCTTACAGAGAAAAACAGAGTTGACCAGATGAGAACAAACATCCTGGATATTCGTTGCTCAACACGTTCAGTCTCTCCTTCCACAGAATAACTAATCAAGATGATAAAGCAAATTAAAGAAGTATAAAGGAATTAAAACAAAATTTAAAACACAGGAAAAGTTATCTTCTTACTACTTAGTAAATGAAGTCGCATATTTAGTTATGCAGTATTTTCCGATTAAAGATCTTTATGATAAAAATCTTCTTTATATTCATCTAAATAAAACTGATCCTTACAGGGTAAAAATACCCCTCATATCATAAACATATGTATATTGTCAACCGTATTTAATGAATGCAGAAGATCTTTTAATTTTGCCAACAGCACTGCTATAAATATAAAAACCTTTACATTCAGATTTAAATTTTTAAAAAGATATTTTGAAATATATTAAACAGTTTACGTGTTTCGTCTTGTTCTTCGTCAGTCTTCTCTCCACACTAATATCTGCTGCCTTTTTGGAGCTGAAGTTTCTCTTCCTCTCTTTTCTGTTTCTTCCTTTTTCCTGCAACAACATTTCAGAAAGTTTGTCACCACCCCCATAAGCACTACAACAGATACAATTATTATCGTATATCACACAATGTATGTTTTATATTTTTATCACAAAATGTCAGTCAGTGGTAGTGATGTGCGGATCGATCCTGAAATATCGATTCCTCCAATACCAATTATTTATGTTCTAGAATCGATTCTCACATTAAAATATCGATATTTTAGTAATTTATTGTAAATTTGTAGTTTATCATTAACAGGAACACAGTGGAAAGAAACTATAACATTCGGGTTGTCTACATTCAAAGGAACTACTTCCTCTTCCGCCTTTCATAGTCATGTGCGAAATACGGCTGTCTCGCAGCGCCTTGGCATGCGCACTCACAACAATGGCTGAGCGGAATTGTGCGGACGTATTTTACCTCCACAAACAGCTGAGAAGTGGTTTGCGATACATGTGGTAAAAAAGTGCTCCAAGAGTGAGGTGTTGTGGCTGTTGTGAGG